GCCGTCGGCGGGGCGTCAGGTTGCTGCCGGCGCCGGGGCTCGGCTGCGGGCGCGGGGCTGAGGGGCGCCTCCTTCGGGAGGGCAGCCGGAGGACGCAGCCGGTAGGAGCCGCCGGGCCGCCTGCTCCGCTTGACCAGGAAGCCCCGCGGCATCTTGGCGGGAGGGCCTCGCGGGCCACTCCGGACGGCAGCGCTCCACTGGCCCCGGCGCCGCGGCCTGCCCGACGGGCATTTATACCTCCGGCACCCTGCCAGTCCCGGTAGGCACAGGTGCCGTCTGGCCCTGGGCGCTCCTCCCAGCCCGGCCGCTCTCTCCAGCTCCCCTCCCCGCTCCGGCCGTCCGCCGGACAAGAGTCCCCGACCACAGTCAGGCGCTGCAGGCTGAGGAGGCTCCGCTGAGCGGGACGGGGACGAGGAGGAGGAGGAGGAGGAGGAGGAGGAGGAGGCTCCTCCGGTCCCCCGCGCGCCTCAGGGAAGGGAAGCCAAGAGGCTGGCGGGGGCTCCCCCTGCCCAAAGCAACCCGGACCGCCGGCCGAGCCTGTGCAGCGGCGCACAGGTCAACTCCCGCCAGCAGGAGACGGCGCTCGGGGCTCTGCCTTGCCCGGAGCGGGAGCCGGCCGCGGAGCTGTCCAGCACCAGCGCCTCCTGCCTTGCCTCGGAGCACAGGCAGGCCGTCTCCTCTGTTCGGTGGCATCTCGTTTCCATACAGCTGCACAAACGCTTGACGACGCCTCACTTCCTCGCTGGAGAAAAGAAAGACCACAAGGGGGTGGGGGGGAGGCCTTGGAGTCACTAGTCTGAGTAGCCTTCCCTTCTCAGACCCAAGATCTGCTTTTCAGTGCCAGGCCTCCCTTAAATGTTCCTGCCTCCTCTCCCTTGCTGTCTGCGGAACCCCCTGTTAGGATATCCTCGGAATGCTCCCCACCCCCACCCCTTCTCAAAGCCTCTCTCATGGCTCAGCTGTAGAGCATCTGATTGGTATGAAGAAAGTCTGGAGTACTTCCCCTATGCTGAAGAGTCTGGGACTTTTCAATTTATCACTGGCTACTAGTCCTGGTGACTAAAGGGAACCTCCACATTAAAAGACAGTCAGTCTCTGAATCCCAGAGTCAGCCTTGGCCTCTGCACCCTGTTGTTGACCATCCAGAGGAACATTGGCCACTGTTGTGTGAGACAGGATGCTGGACTAGATGGACACGGGTCTGATCCAGCAGGGCTCTTCTTTTTTTTATATGCCAGGTTCAATCCCTGGCATCTCCATTTAAAAAGCTCAGATGGCAGATGATGTAAAGGGCCTCAACCTGAGATTCCAGAGAGCTACTGCCAGTCTGAGGAGACAATATTTACCTTGATGAGCCAATGGTCTTATTCAGTATAAGGCAGCTTCATGTGTTAATGTGGCCTATTTATATATTTTTGTTGCCTATTTACTCTTGCATCTCCTTCCTTATCCTAACTCTAACCTGAGTTGTAAACTTCTTGGGCCCAGAAGGTTTGTTTTAAAAATTCTGTTATTTTGTGAAGCAACAGAGACATTGATCAAACTAGGGGATGCTGTTTAGAATGCCCTGTGCCCCCACCCCACCCAATGGGAGCCTCAGACAGCTATATAGCATGCATTAATATAGAATTTATTCCAGCTAATCAGTGATAGAATTATGTATATTCCCCATATCAATTAATCTTGTATCAGTCCTAGTGGTGGTAGAGGAGAGCAGGAAAGCTGGATTGACCTGTATGGCCAATAAAGACGCAAATAAACAGTTAATCAAAAGGGAAGTTGTTGCGTTTGGGGGATAAAATGGGACTTCAGTTTAACCCATGGATCATTGCATTTATTTATTTACAAATATTTTTATCCCACTTCTCCAAAGCCTTGCAGTTAACAAAACAAAGGATAAAACAATATATAATACAAACATAGTCATAAACATTTATTCAAACTATGGGAAACTATTGTTAAATGTCCAGCAGTACAATTGTCAGGAGTAAAACCATCTCATTAATAGAACAGTAATCAATAAATATCAACAGGAAGTGCCTTATGAATGAAAGAGAGAGAACAGCACCTTTCTGACACAGGAATCAACTATGTGCCATAAACTGCATTTAAATGATGGTTTGCAGTGCATAACTTCTTGGACTATTCAATTGTTCTTCCCCATCCTAGAGGTAAGTGAGTTACTTAGGAATGCTCATTTGTGAAACCAGTGGTCTTTTTTCTAGGTACACCATTGGCTGGTGGGAAAGACTCATGCAATAGGCCCCACCCACCTGGTCATGTTAGTCATGTGTGTGCCAGTGCAGCATGGCACACAACACAGGCTGTGGCAAATAAAAGTCTGTGGTCAGGCAGGCAAAAAGTGACTATAAGGAGCATATTGCAAAAAACATAAAGACCAACAATAAAACTTTCTTCAAATACATTAGAAGCAGGAAACCAGACAGGGAAGCAGTGGGGCCCTTGGATGACCAAGGGGTAAAAGGGGTACTGAAGGATGATAGGGAAATGGCTGAGAAGCTGAATGCATTTTTTGCCTCTGTTTTCACTGTGCCCACTCCAGAACCCTGGATGTTGAACCCTGGGTGTTGAAAGACCTGAGTCAGATTGAGGTGATGAGAGAGGAGGTCCTACGACTGATAGACAACTTAATCACCAGGCCCAGATGGCATGCATCCCAGAGTTCTGAAAGAACTCAAATGTGAACTTGTGGATCTCCTGACAAAAATATGTAATCTTTCATTAAAATCTGCCTCCACTCCTGAGGACTGGAAGGTAGCTAATGCCCCTCCCATCTTTAAAAAGGGTTCCAGAGGACATCCAGGAAATTACAGGCCAGTCAGTCTGATGTCAATACCAGTTAAGTTGGTGGAAACCATTATTAGGAGAGAATTACTAGGCACATTGAGGAACATAAACTATTGAGGAAGATTCAGCATGCATTCTGTAAGGGAAGATCTTGTCTCACTAACCTGTTATTTGAGGGAGTGAACAAACATGTGGACAAGGGGGACCCAATAGATGTTGTTTACCTTGACTTCCAGAAAGCTTTTGATAAAGTTCCTCATCAAAGGTTCCTAAGTAAGCTCAAAAGTCATGGGATAAAAGGACAAGTCCTTTTGTGGATCAAAAACTGGCTAATTAATAGGAAACAGAGAGTGAGTATAAATGGGCAATTTTCTCAGTGGAGGGTGATAAGCAGTGGGGTACCACAGGGATCAGTATTGGGTCCAATGCTTTTTAACTTGCTCATTAATTATTTGAAGTTGGGAGTAAGCAGTGAAGTGGCTAGATTTGCAGATGACACAAAATTGTTCAGGGTGGTGAAAACCAGGGAGGATTGTGAGGCATTACAAAGGGATTTGTTGAGGATGGGCAAGTGGGCGTCAATGTGGCAAAAGTGGTTCAATGTAGCCAGGTGCAAAGTGATGCACATTGGGGCCAAAAATCCTAACTATAAATACACGTTGATGGGGTCCGAACTGGCAGAGACTGACCAAGAGAGAGATCTTTGAGTCATAGTAGATAACTCACTGAAAATGTCGAGACCGTGTGTGACTGCAATAAAAAAGGTCAATGCTATGCTAGGCATTATTAGGAAGGGAATTGAAAACAAATCAGCCAGTATCGTAATGCCCCTCTATAAATCGATGGTGCGACCTCATTTGGAATACTGTGTACAATTCTGGCCGCCACACCTCAAAAAGGATATTATAGCATTGGAAAAAGTGCAGAAAACGGCAACTAGAATGATAAAAGGGTTGGAACACTTTC